AGGAGGCGGCCAGCATGTCCTCCAGCCCAAACAGTACTCTCTCTCGAGACAGCGCTGGCGAGGTGAACCTTGCCGCGGAGACGGGCAGCGATACCGGACGGAGCCATGATGCCAGCTTGCGCGCCCTCCAGACGATGGTCCGAGAGATGCCCCAGTACCAGCGCGAGGCAGCCAGCTACAACGCCCTAGTGTCCATTGCCGACACCTGCCTTTCTGCCTGCAGAAACAGCGTTAACAAAATGTGCGCTGTTGAGCAGGTAGGAGGGCCTGTTGCCTGTGTTATATCTCCGCCATCCCCAAATGTGGCTCCACTGATACAAAATTTTTCCATGAAAGCTGGATGTTTGTACTGTCTTTGGCTAGGCACATTAAGTACTGACCCCGTTTTTGCTCTCTATTTATTGATCTCCACTTTCTCTTTCCTGACTTTGTGTTTTTCATCTAAGGCCTTAACCATGAATTTGCTTATTTCTTGCTTACTGAACTGCCTTCTTCCTCTGCGCCCCCACAGAACTTGGTCATGGGTCAGACCGCAGAAGGCGAAGCCCTGCACGACCCCATGCGCTCTCTCGTGGAGGTACTCAGTCCCGACACGATGACAGAGTTGGAGCGTTTTCGTCTAGTGGTTATCTTTATCCTTTCCCGAAGTAAGCCCTGCTTTTCTGCCATTCCATTCCATATACATCCACAGCCCTGTTGATTAAATTGTGACGATAGTTGAAGTGCTCTTCACAAACTGCATACTTTGGCCAAGTATGCAACATTGACCCCGATTCCGATAAGAAACCTGCTTGGACCTGAGGGGTTATGAATTTCTTCGTTAGGAGATTCGCGATAGCAACTTATCAACAGTGTCTTTCACACCACTGCTTAAACCTGGTGTGTAAGTGGTCCGCAACTTGCGGGTAGGCACCCAAAAATGGTCATATAAACAAAGTCAGATTTCGTAGATTTATTCCCCTGGGACAGTTATTAGGTCAGGGTGCACACGGACCCTAACCGTGTTTCATACTCCTCAGCATCCTTCTTCTTCCATGAGGCGGGTAACGGTCTTGCCAACCGGATAATCCATAGGGTGCACTTAGAGTCTCTACCATCCTCATCACTGCTCGAGCCTTTTGAGCTCGCTCTGAACTACGATCTGCCTGCATATATGCCACCCACCAACATCTCCGAGTGTGCAAGTGATTGACCAGCTGGTTAGATTCTCGTCTGCCACTGTTATGCAACTACTGTGTTAGGTGCGGTAAGATGCACAAAGACTAACAAACGTAGCAATCCTTTTCGCTGCTTTCAGCGGCCTAATGCTCTTTTTTTGGAACAACACTGCACACTTTTCTGACGTACAGTGAGTGGGCTAACGCATGAAATGTCAACCAAAATTCCGAAATGCGTTTTCGTTTCGAAAAAGATTAATTAAGTAGGATTGCAAAACTAGTCAGCCTGCTACATAATTCTATAATATTTCAATTACCTCAGGATGCCCTCTTTCGAAAGAATTTCTTTCCGGCTGCATGCAAAAACTACACTCCATAAAAAATGACTACGTTGGTGGCATGAATTTTTTTCATTGTTTTTCGATGCTCCTAAAAGTCCAATTATATTTCATGGAAAGCACGCATAAAAATATTCATTCTTTTGCTCATTCGGTAGCTAACTACGTCTTCTAATTTTATACTCGAAGGAGGAACATAATTTGGTTTCAAAAAAGTTTCTAATTGTGGGACTTTTAAATACCGTGAAATGGCCGTTGATAAATTGTCATGTCCCTGCATTTACCAATATGGCTTGTAAAGTTAGCAATGTAGATCAAATCCACTGCTTAATTTTATGAACCCTACATGGTCCCCCTATATTAACGTAGAGAAAATATATGGTTTTCAGTACGCGGAAAATAGGCGGCTTATAGTTTGGAAACCCTGAATCTAAGTGTAACGGTAGAACGGGTTCAAAATTATTCGGGAATTGGAAAAGTTTTTGAAAACCGAATTATACCCTTCCTTCTAGTATAAAACTAGAAGAAGACGTAATTATCTATCGAATGAGCAAAAGAATGAATATTTTATGCAGGTTTCCCATGAAATATAATTGGACTTTTAGAGGCATTAAAAATCAATGGGGAAAATTCATCCCACCTAAGTAGTCATTTTTTACAGAGTGTAGTTTTTGCATGCGGCCGGAAGGAAATTCATAAGAAAGCCGGTATCCTGAAGTAATTGAAATATGATAGAATTATGTAGCAGGCTGACTAGTTTTACAACCTTACTTAATTAATCTTTTCGAGGCGAAACACATTTCGGAATTTCGGTTGATATTTCATGAGTTAGCCCACCTACCGTTATAGGTCATTGTATCTTTCCAAAACCTTTAGTGACTCCTGGTGGGATAGACTCTCTTCATCCACCCTAATTTTGGATTCAGTTATCCGTAGTCACCAATCCGTTAGACTTGCTACTGAATCTCATCAGGAGGATATCTGGGCATTACGATGGCAAACAGACCACAGTTTTAAGTGCAGCGTCGGAGGTAACAATGAAGGCAAACTATTTGTGCCAAACTGAAGGTCAAGTGCTTGAAAGAATCCATCGTATTTATCCCTGAATTTGTTGCAGATCTTATTTCTGGCATCAACAACTGACACTGTGTTTTTTGAGGCGTGATGCCTCATCTAGTAGCCCGACTTTATTTCCACACAGACTAGTGCCGATTTTTCTAGCTCCAGGCATCCTTTTTGATTATAAAAATGCGCCTCATCCTAGTGTCCAACCTAATCTTGTCACATGGGACTACTTAAGTTGGGCTTTGACAACTAAGAAACTTATCTAGTTTCGCGGACAGTCACCGGCCCTTACTAGGCTGTGCTCCCTCATGCCTGCTTACCCCGCATTCTGTTGTCTTTTTTTTACCGATGTGTGTATATGGCGGATTGTACAATATAGCGGGACAAAAAGCTTACTATGGGGTACAGGTGCGGTTTTTTTAGTGTTCAGAGAATGGAAACAGATGGCTTTTTCGCTGTGACTGCCTATCTTCGTTCCATTGTGCACGCCTTGCCCTCACTTTCGTGGATGCTCTCTTTTGAGGTGGGATTTCGGAGGCGCATTTGGACAAACTGTTGGACTACGCTCGTCTTTCGCTCGCTTATAAATCCATAATCGCTGCTCTCTCCTCCGTACTGGGTGCAAGACTGATTAACGCCTCTGTAAGTTTTGTCTTCATTCTCATGCTAATTGAACCTTTAGGGGGGGTTTTTCTACGCCCTTGAAGTAGGGTGCTATCTAGAGGCGAATAACACGTCAGTCTGGTTGGCCTGAGTTTACTTGCGTGTGCCGCTCATCGGACAG